TGTTGGTGGAAAACTTGTGACATTGAGGAGTAAGAAACAAAATATGGTAGCACTCTCTAGTGCTGATGGCTAAAGGTTTATGTGAACTTCTTTGGCTAAACAAATTGCTAACTGAGATTGGTTTTGCTCCTAAATCATAAATGAGTCTCTTCTGTGATAATAAAGTTGCAATAAATATTTCTCAAAATTCAGTCCAACATGATAGAACTAAACATGTGGAGGTTGATCGGCACTTCATCAAACATAACCTTGAAGCGAAGACAATTCAATTTTCATTTGTCAAATTTAAAGATCAACTAGCAGATATACTTATTAAAGCCGTGTCTAGCAGAGAATTCCATAGCTCACTAGTCAAGTTGTGCATGAGAGATCCATATGCATCAACTTAAGGCGGAGTGTTGGCGTGAGCTGTAACACATGGGTAATAGCAAATATTGTAGGAATAGAGATGGAAAGAATAGGAGATATTATAAGAACAAAGATGGAAAGAATTTCTTTCCATCTCACGATAGCATAATTATAGGAACTGAATATGTATAGCTTAAAATAAAAGATTTACTCTTGTAGTATAAATATGTAACAAGCCACTGTGTAAGATTAATGAAAAAAAAAGAGTAATTATTGTGACATTGTTCTCGCTTTGGAAGAGGACACCCTCCTTGTTCCTACTATGGAGAAGCAATCCATTAGGTCCAACCTTGTTATGAGCTGTATGGATATCCAGCCGGCCACCCAGAGGCAAGGTATGGTTCAGGGCCAAGACGTTTCAGCAACAATAACAAGCCTGCAGATAATCATGTGTCCAAAGACTTCTTTAAAGAAGACGGACAACTAGTTGTTCGGATTCAAAACCTCAATTAAAGTAGCTCTCATCATTTTTTGGCAACAAAAATAAACTCTTAAGCAAATGCCGTAACCAAGCTAGGTTTGTCTGAAGTCGCATTTTGCCATTCGATCATTGACAGCGGGGAGACATTATATTTCTTCATCATCTAAATTATTTTTTGCAATGAGTATCTCTCCATGACTTGCAATCATACCTACATTCAAACCATTAAAATTAACCAATGGTGAAACTAAAATTCAATATTCAATGCGAAAGTTATAGTGGTGAAATTAAAATAAATAAATAAATAAATAAATATCCAATGCTAAGATTGTCGCTACCACTATTTAGATGTTCCTAAAAATTATAAGAATTATATGCCAAACCATATAATAATAATAAAAAAATTCAAACTCAATTTCAAAGAAAAATTATCCAAATTAGAAAAGCATGGCTTTAAGCTATATTCACCTAACATACATTGGATTTAAAAATCATCATCATCATCATCATCATCTAAAAATATATATAAAAGTAATTAAGAACTATTTGTAGAAAATCTAATTCAACAAAAAATACCGTTAAAATTTACTAAAAATCTAGACTTTGCTAGTTATAGTTCAGGCATGGGTTGACTCCTAACATGATTAACTTTATTTTGACTTGGATTATAGTGAGTATTGATTTTTTAATTATTATTTTTTAAATGTTAACATCGACTGAATTACCATAAGAAAAATTAATCGTGTTAAAATTAGATTTTTTTACTTAAATAAAACACCGACAAATGATGAAGGTTACCTATTACAGCTAACCATTCAATCCAATGACTTGTCCGCTATTGACTAACGAGTCTTTGTATAAAAGAGAAAATGAATGTGAACTGGCGATGAACTGACTACAGACGCACATCACAAATTAATTAACATTGCTACAGTTTACAAGAATTAAAATATAAAAATAATAATAATAAATCATTTTATGATACCGTGTCCATATGCACATATATTTATATATTGCAATAATTAAATAAGAGAAGTCTTTTTAAAAACCAACGTGTCTATTGACTTAGAGTCAATTGAACATGCTTTATGGTTGTTGATTTTTAACTTTGAATTATTTTCATAAATAACGAAGAATATTGTTAAGAAAATAATCTAGATAAATATTCTTAATTAATTTCTAATCAATAAAAGAAGAGATCAATAAATTAAATAACTTAAGGAAATCAAAAATTTATTTCAAGAAGAGTATAAGCATTTTCTATAATTTATTTTATAAGAGCGTCTCCGAGACTGTTATTCAGAGGAATTCAAACCAAAGAAGAAAAGTGATTTCATAGAGATGATCCTGCTGGATGCTGTCTTCATCATTGAGTTTATGAAGGAATATTCGAATAATGATGAAGGTCCTAACAGGTTTGAGCCTAGAACGATATTGGACATACGAGAAGACTTGATACTACTTGAAAACCAACTACCTTTCTTCATTATTCAGGAAATATATGACGAGTACAATCGTGCTCGCCAAGATCTAACAGCCATTCCTTTTTTCGATCTTGTTACCTCTCATTCTAAAAATTACACGTTTTTAAAGAAGGTTGAAACCAACCGGAGTGTAAAGAAAAGCAGACATTTCACTGATTTACTAAGAAATTTGATGTTGAATGGAGCCAGGCAGCCGAATGGAGCCAGGAAGCTGAATGGATCCAGTAATCCTATCATGCTAAGGCATAATGCTGTCTGTTAGAGTACAATGATGATAAGTGTAAACATGATTACTAAGTTTGTTAGTTGGTTAGCTGTTAGTCAGTTAGTTAGTTAGTTAGCAAAGTTAGTTACATGCAGTTAAGTTGTTACAACTGCATGTATATATATATATAACTAACTAGCTAAAGCTGGACTGCATTGAATTACATAAAATAAAAAGCATTACGAGTGTTCTCATTTTTCTCTAGTCTCTCAAACAGTTTCTCTACATTTACAACAACAGATACACTCTAACATGGTATCAGAGCTCTTAGCTCACGCTTGAAGATCTTCTTTGATTGCTTCCGCATACTCTCTGCTTTTTCTTCTTCGCATTCTACAGTCTCTCCTAGTTCTCAGTCCATTACTGCTTCCATTCAAGCTTCTCCTCCTCTTCCTGTGGCGCCTGATATCAGTATCAGTTCTACTACTTTTAATCCTGACAACTTGCAAGTGGTTTTGTCCATTCCTTCTCTCAATTTGCATCCCATGCAAACCAGAAGAAAAAGTGGCATTACTAAACAGAAGGCTTTCTTAGCCAGTATTCAGGATTGTAGCATGGTTGATATGTCTTTAACAGAGCCAGCAACTTACAAATCTGCCATCAAAGCTCCTGTGTGGTTACAGGCCATGCAAGATGAAATTACTGCATTACATACTCAAGGCACCTGGAGTCTTGTTCCATTACCAGCAAAGAGGAACTTAGTGGGGTGCAAGTGTATTTTCAAGATCAAACGTCATTCGGATGGTTCGATTGCTAAGCACAAAGCACGGTTGGTTGCTAAAGGGTTTAGTCAGGAACCTGGCTTGGATTATGGGGACACCTTTAGTCCTGTGGTGAAACCTGCCACCATTCGACTAATTCTTTCCCTGGCTGCTCATTTCAATTGGCCTCTTAGACAATTAGACGTCAAAAATGCATTCTTGCATGGCATTCTTCAAGAAGAGGTTTACATGTCCCAGCCTTCTAGTTTTGAAGATTCATTGCATCCTCATCATGTGTGCAAACTGCATAAATCTCTCTATGGATTAAAACAAGCACCTAGGGCCTGGAATACACGTTTTACTCAATTTCTGCCTTCCTTGGGGTTTGCCACAACCTATTCTGATTCATCCTTGTTTGTCAAGCATGTTGGTTCTCAGATTGTGGTCCTGCTCCTCTATGTAGATGATATTATCCTCATAGGAAGTGCGTCTGCTGCCATTCTGCAGGTTATCCAAGCTCTCTCCACTGAATTTGATATCACAGATTTAGGCTCTCTTCATTTTCCCCTGGGGATACAAATTACTCACATCTCTACTGGCTTGTTTCTTTCACAATCTAAATATGTTGAGGATTTGCTGCTTAAATCTGAGATGGTTGATGCTAAACCATGTGATACTCCATGTCTTCCTCATCATCGCCTACTTAAAGAAGATGGGGCACCGTATCCTAATCCTACAGTATATCGTAGCATTGTAGGGGCTCTGCAATACTTGACCTTCACACGACCTGACATTGCGTTCTCTGTGCATCAAGTCTGCTAATTTATGCAGAATCCAATAGTGTCTCATTTCACTGCTGTGAAACGAATTTTACGCTACCTTAAAGGCACACTGTATGTTGATATTTCTTACACTAAAGGAGATTTGCAGCTCAAGGCGTTTAGTGATGCTGACTAGGCAAGGGATCCTAATGACAGACGCTCCACTACTGGCTTGGTAATCTTTTTGGGCGACAATCCTATATCATGGTCTTCCAAAAAGCAACAAACTGTGTCCAGATCATCAACAGAGGCTAAATATCGAGCCTTATCCTTTACTACCGCTGAAGTGGATTGACTCAAGCAGTTATTAGCCTTTCTGCATGTTTCATTACCTCATCCTCCTGTTCTTTTCTATGATAATCTCTCTGCCATTGCTCTATCCTTTAATCCTGTTCAGCATCAACGAACCAAACACATTGAGGTCGATGTGCATTTTGTTCGTGAACGAGTTTCCCAGAAGCAATTGTCAGTTCAATTTGTTTCCTCACAGGAACAGTTTGCTGATATTCTCACGAAGGGGTTAAGTGCTCCTCTCTTTCGCACTCATTGCTGCAATCTCAGACTTAGTTCTCCACCCGCATGATCTTGAAGGAGGATGTTAGAGTACAGTGATGATAAGTGTAAACATGATTACTAAGTTTGTTAGTTGGTTAGCTGTTAGTCAGTTAGTTAGTTAGTTAGCAAAGTTAGTTACATGCAGTTAAGTTGTTACAACTGCATGTATATATATATATATATATAACTAACTAGCTAAAGCTGGACTGCATTGAATTACATAAAATAAAGAGCATTACTAGTGTTCTCATTTTTCTCTAAGTCTCTCAAACAGTTTCTCTACATTTACAACAACAGATACACTCTAACACTGTCAAGCTTCGCGCGGCAAGAGTCGAGTTTGAGGTCGCCGAAGACAAATGTTTGCTTAACATAACATTTGAGAAAGGAGTGTTGAAAATACCACTCTTGGAAGTTGATTACCACTTCGAACGTGCTGTACGAAATATCATGGCCTTGGAGCAGTGCTTGTACCAGAATGAAGCTTACGTATGCAGTTACATTAAGTTTATGGACCATCTTATCGACAGTGCAGAAGACGTGGGTTTGCTAGTCGGAAAGAAAATCATTACCCACAGGCTAGGTAACGATGCCGCAGTTTCAGTTATGATTAACAAGCTTTGCGAAAATATTAGTGACCCTTATACTTATTATGATGATATATGTGAAAAGATGAATGACCACTGTGATAGCCTCCTTAACCGTATGAAGGCAACCTTGGAACTTGTATATTTCCCCCATGTTTGGAGAGGTACGGGAACTGTTGCAGCTGCTATCCTCCTGATTCTCACTTTGATACAGACTATAACTTCCGTAAAGTCGGTATTCTAGGATTTTATCTTGTTTAGTTTTATTATCCCTTCGTAATGCTGGATTGGATTATTATTGTTAAAATTGCAGTTAAACTTTGGGTTTCTGTAGTTCTGAACTAATAATATTGTATCAATTTCTTGTTGTGTTGTCCTAAAATTGAGTTTGTACTTGTGACCTATGTGATGTCCTTTCCCTTTCCCCCTCAATATCTTCATCATCTTCTGATTAAATGAAGCTGGAAAATTAAAGCATGATCTCCTTTTCAAGATCCCCAGTTTTTTTTTTTTCTGTTTCTTTCTTGCTTGCCACAACTATTAGAAAATGTTGCCTGCCATTATACAATTTCTTGCTTTAATTAATTTTAACATTAGACTGAGTTAATTTGGGAATGCTATGCACCAGAATTTAGTAACAAATTGCGGATGATTTGTTGTCTTGATAAATTGAGGCATTCATACAAGATTGCCACAAATGTTTTGCATTCTATTGATGTCTATTTCTGTTTCTTTCTTGCTTGCCACAGCAGTGACATGAATGCAATTGAATTTTCTATAGATTCATGTAATTGTGAAAGATGTAATGTTTTTTAATTATCGGATTGTACAAAACCCAACTAAAACGTAACTTTCCTCTCTAAGATTATACAAAAACACCCCTTCCTGATCATAGAACTGTAGAATATCTCTATTTTCTAATATCGTAGCAGCATACCCAACGTGGTTATATTCCTCTGCTGATCATATAACAGCAGAAGATCTCCATTTTCTAATATCATGGCATCACCAAGAAACAATGGTTTCTCTAGGTGAATGTTGTTTTCCATGAAAATTGTCGTATGTGTTCGGTGTCACGGCGAATATTCCACTTTTATCAAGAAGTGTATCTATCTAATGGAAAATATAGGGGAACAAGAAATTCTAGCTTTTATCAGTGAAAAATAGAATGGAATTCGCCACCTAGTATTTTGGTCACTAGGAACCTTAACTAGTCTTAGAGATCAAATACGGGGACTGGTTGCATAAATGGAAAGTATTAACGCCCCAAATATGCCTTACCTAAGATAAGGTGCATTGTTTGATTGTTTGATAAAAAAACTAAGATATGATCGTATCTCTAGTGGTTGGTCTGTCTATGATTTAAGAAAAGTCCTCCTTAGTAAGGAGATCCTTATCTTTATTAGGTGATTCTGATGTGAACAAAAAAATTTAATATCCGACATACGTCTTACGTATAAGATCATAACCCCAAATATTAAAAGAAAACAAATGAATTTTTTTGGAGTTTTTGAAATATTGGCCTAGTTCTCATGACTTGAATAAACTGGTTATTAAAGCCAAAATGCATGCTAATACATATATTGTTTTGAAATTTCTTTTGTTGTGTGAAAATATGATGTTATAATATATATATATATATATATATATATATATATATATATATATATTGGAGAG